GATTATGGAATTTTTATTGTTATGGTACTTTGGAATGGATGTTTTTCGATTTTTAGGTCATCAGGTTTTTGAATTTTATTTTTTTAAGGTTCTGGAAACAATACCCGTGTGGGATTTTTATCTGTAAATTCTAGATTTCTTAGCTTAATGTTACAATTTTTTTGGCCAATTCTTGGATTTCGGGATTTTTTGACCCAATTCTTGGATCTTTTATTTTGAAAGCTTTAGTTATTACTCTTTAATTGATTGTAGTTTCAGTTATTATAATTTAGAATTTTCAATTATACAATTGTTGGACCAAATTCTTGGATCTTTGGTTGTAAATTCTTACTGTTGTTTATTATTCTTACTCCTTTGCACACGGAGAAAAAATTGTTGTTCTTACTGAACCTGGAGCCAGTAAATTTTGTTTGGTTACTACAACAAATCTGTATTGTTGATAATATATTACTACAACAAATTTTTAGTTGTTGAAATGGAATGGAACCTATGAAACTAACAAATTTTGTTTGGAAGCTACAACAAATCTGTATTGCTGTAGTAACAAAATCTTTAGGAATAGTACCAATATATTCGTTATAACAATACAAATATGTTGTGACAATAAAATTTTGTTGTACACTGAGAAAAATATGCTATTGAATCAACAGCATTTCTGCTAAAGGCATAAAAATTATTGATTCTAAAGCATATGCTACAGAATTTGTAAAATATAGATTCTATAGCATATGATTTTGAATCAATAATTTTTATGCCTTTGGCAGAAATGCTGTTGATTCAATAGCATATTTTTCTCAGTGTACAACAAAATGTTATTGTTACAACATATTTGTATTGTTATAACGAATATATTGGTAGTATTCCTAAGAAATTTGTTACAGCAATACAGATTTGTTGAAGCATCCAAACAAAATTTGTTAGTTCCATAGGTTTAGTAAGTACAACAATTTATTTTTCTTCTAGAAGTTTTTATTTCAACCAAGTTTAGTATCAAACGTTAAAATCATTCCCAAGACATCCATTTTTAGAAGGTACTGAATTTTTATTCATTTCCGGATTTTTAAATTCGAATTTTTGTACATCATTTTTTAAATATAATTAAATTTTGCAGAGTGATTTTATATGCTGAAGTTTGATCCTAACTTCCGCAACTGTTAATTGAGATAGCAGTTGTAACTAAAATCCCGAACTTGATGGTTCGTTTTGTTTGATGAGAGTATCAATATCCCATATACACATCAGTGATGTTGACACAAATGATTCATAGACAAGATTTATCAAAAACAATATCTAGACTATTTTTTCTTCTAGAACTCTTGTACCAGAAAAATTCATTACTCTTTAGAAAAATTCTCTCTACATAACTAGATGAAAATATATACAATTTGACTTGGTAACTTTTCTCTTTTATCAAAAAAAAAAAAAAATGATTTTAATCTTATTTTTCTGCTGAAAATCGTGAAAAGAATCCTAATCAGCTCCATGAAGACTCTGTAAGAAGAGGTACACCACCGATCTTTGAACGTGATCGAGGTCAAGTATCGGTCCAGGCGCATTCAAGTCGAGCCTTCCGCATGCACTTGCACCGACGGGGAAGACGTTCGTAAAATAAGGGGGGGTGGTGGTTGCGAGTCATGTGGAGAGGGACATAAAGGGGGCAAACTGCTCCGTGGTTCTGCGACCCACTGACCCGCTCGATAACGCTGTGCCACCCAGGTCACTGACCTTTCCCTCGCACAAAATTCACACGACGCGGCCCGTTCTGGGTTCGATGTTCCAAATTATTGTATATATATATATATATATATATATATGTTATCTGTATACATGTATATATCCTTTAGGTTGAGAGAATGACGAGTCGAAGGCTCACAACCTCTCACGGCCTTTAGGAGACCGTGACCGGGACAGGTGTGTTATTATTTTTTCACAGCCAAAATATTCTCCACTCAGAAAAATTAATTTTTTTTAATTTCTCGATCATTTTGCTCATAAATTTTACGAAATAAGAAATTTATAGGAAAAAAATATTTTAAAACATTATTATTATAGTTGAAGGTGTGTCATTATTTTGGAATATGGCTTTATTGAAATTGTTAGGGTACTTTAGAATTGGCTATTTATTATTATTATTGAGTAGTATGATTATGATTTGAGATTATTTTGTAGAGACATGAAGTTGATGTTATGATGAATATCTGTCGGTATCATATTCCAAGGATTGCAACAAAAAGCGAGTATCACGCACGTTGAGTATTGATTTCGACCTCGCTGGAAGTGCTGCCACGATTTCGCGTCCTCGGAACTAAATCCCTTTGCCAGAAGAAGGGGGGGGGAGGGGAAAAATTAGACAAATTTATCTAAAAATATTTCTTTTTATCTTTATATTCGAAAATATTTTTTCTTGGCAAATTTTTCTTTTAGAAAAATGTAGAGATATTTTAGAAGTTCGTTTAAGGGAATTCTAAAATCTTATATTGACCACTCCTATTTGCGAGCTTAGGGGATGTCAACATTTTGAGTAGGAAAATCCATCTTCAAATATTTTTCACGAAATTGAGGAGAAAATATTATTTTTAACATAATTTTATCTCATTTCTTTTTTTTAATATCAAAAATTCGTTCACGTAAAAAAAATTTATTTAACTAAAATATATTTGTATCGAATAAATATTTACTGTAACTAAATAATTTTTTTTAAATCAAATAAATTGTATTTGAACTTGTGTATATGAAACAAATACCATTTAATTGATTCAAATAATAATTATTTGATACAAATCAATATGTATTTGTTAACAGTCAAGTAACCAATTATTAGAATCAAATAAATTTTTTTTATAGATTGTGATATATTCGAGAGAATTTATCTCAAATTAGAAAAATAATTGATAAATTAACTAATTTATTAAATTCGTTAGTAATTAGAATTTTTTTTTCTTGATAAAGTATATTTATTACTTTGAGAAAGTTACATTTATTTCCAATTTAATGAGTTTTATTGCTGTCGTAATTAGAAATGAGTACTTTTTTTATTGAAATTTGGTTGCTTGCCAATTCAGTTTTTAATTATGAAATGTATAATGATAGATAAATCTTCGAAAATTAAATTAGTGATCTTTCACTGACAATATAAATTGCTTTTAATTATGTGGGTGACACAAAAATTTTTCATCTCTTCGACTAATTTTCTGATAGAGAAAATAACAACTTTTGACAGCTTCCATATATTTTTTATATGGAAATTTTTTCTTCAAATATAATGTGTTTGGATTAAATAAAAATATATTTATCTCAAAGCTGAATAACTATTAAAAAAGATAAAATAAAAATTCATTACAAATAGAATTTTTATGTAAAGCAAATAGTGATTTGTCTGCACTGAAAAAAAAAATTTATTTGATTCAAATAATCGGTTACTTGACTATTATCAAATAAATATTTACTTGAACCAAATAATTTTTATTTGAACCAATAATTTCTCTGTTTAAAACAAATAACATTTAATGGACTTAAATAAAAATTATTTGGTTCAAGTAAATATTTATTTAATAATAGTCAAGTGACCGATTATTTGAATCAAATAATTTTTTTTTCAGTGGGAGACAAATACATTTTTCTCTTGATGTAGTAAATAGACATAAAGCTTTTAAAAGTTAATAAATTACTTTTTTTTGATAGACTTTTTTAAATTCTTCAAAAAAATTAAATTATAAAATTGAAATAATTTCCATTTTTTATTTTTAAATTCTTGAAAAAAATTAAATTATAAAATTGAAATAATTTCAATGTTTTATTTTTAAATTCTTGATAATCGGGAGAGGTATTGAAAGATGTCATTAATGAAATGAAGTATTTAAACAAGTGGCAGGTGACATCGAGTGCTCATAAATCTCGGGAGAAACGTCCTTGAGCAATTATTACGCGAATGATGCTCTAGTTTTAAAAAGCTTGTGAGTTAAGCAGGTCACTCATTGAAAAAGATCCTTATAATTATTTTCTAACTTGAATATAATTTAAACTCTTTATTTTCATATATAAATTATTATTTTATTTAAATTTTTGTTATAATATATATATATATATATATATATATATATTTATACTATAAAGATATATTATATATATATAAGATGTGTTCTGTTGCACTCCATTAGTTTCAATTGGCGGTTAACCTTTAGATAAGGCATATCATTAACTACTAAAAGTTATCTCAACTCCTTCAAAGGTTCAATTCCCAAAGTAGATTCTTAACATGAAAAGTTATTTTGATTGAGTTTTATAAGAATCACTTAGCGTGCACTTTGTAGACAAAAAGATATCGTGAAATAATTTTTTTACTTTCACAATAATTCTTATTCCATGAACATAAAATAAACACTTGAAGAATGTTAGAAACATGACAAGCGTCCTCGCAATGTCGCGTGCTTTTCTCGGTATTTTAAATTACACTATACGAATATAACAATGAATAATTAAAAACAAATAATAATAATCTTTCTTTCTAACAAGAACTGTTCTATTCATTCAAATCCTTTCTGTTACTAGGGCAAATATTTATGAGGTAATAAATTTTTTTTAATTTTTCGATTTTTACAATTATTGTTTTTTTGTTTTTGTCAAGTGATCATTACTTTTTGTATTGTAGAATAGAATTTATTTTTAATATTTGTTAATTAGCAGAAACTATATTTAATTCGGGACTAATAAATCTCGTGACATTTCTTTATAGGAATAAGGTTAAAAGACTCTTGGAACCTTTATCCCTTTCTCCTGATAAATATTGCATGAATCGTGTCAATAGATTTTGTTAACGAAATCGATTAGGTTTTCTCAGAGGTTGTTATTTGTGAATAACACTACTCTAAACAAGCTGATCGAAACCCTAGTTGGAGTAATAGGAGGCCTTTCACGATATTAGAGATATTTGTTGTTAAATAATGTAAAACTCGTGCTGTCGTTGTATAGTTAGTTTTTTTTTTTTTCAAGAGGATACTCACTTGGCATTCTTTGGCAATGTGCCAGATGTGGGAAGTGTGTGCGTAGGCGTAAAACAAAGGGGTTGGTTATTCGCATTTTGTGGTACTAGGGGTTGTCTGGCGTGCGCCGGTGACGTGTGAGAACCATAACCGTCGGAATTTAGCTGAAAAAGACAAAAAAAAAAAGAGATTTTAGTCTCAAAAGGTTCAGAAACATTAACTCCTCGACGTCCCTTTTCTATGTAGGTACACAATATATGTTGTACTTGCACTTCAAAGGATAGTCTTTTTTTCCAATTTTCTCAAGTCACTGACTTTTTTCATAATATATTTTTTTTTTCCTCCTTTTTTGAATTGTTTCTACTAAGCACTCGATTTAACTAATATTTTTTTTGGAGGCTTTTTATAAATGGGCAATTTAATTTTCCATTTGGTTTTTTTTCTCTTTGTTTTAATTAATAAATTATTATTTTTTTTAAGTATTTTTCGAAAATTATACCTTGACAACGGTGCCGATTAATGAGTCAGGTGGCATTTCTGGTGGGTCAGGGATAACTCCGGGATTCGTGTGGGCTGGATAATCGTTGTGTAAGTGTGCTTCCTTTACAGGAGTGCCACTTCCGTCGAGACGTTCCATATCCAAACTGTCAGTTGGTGTTGGTTGCGAGAGCAGACGCTCCTTCATCTCGTGAAGATAAGGGCAACGTTGCATCTCTTCAATATCACGAGCTCTTTGTTGTTCTATAGGCAAAAAAAATAATAGAAAAATATTAAAATTACAATAATCACAAAAATACAATTCTCAATATTTTCAAATTTTGTGACAAAATTTCCACAAATTGCATATAATTTTCCTGTTAATAGATACTTTCATTATTATTTCACTTATTGTTGTTATTATAATTATTATTATTTTGTTATTACGGTTATTATGCATTATTATTAATTGAAGCAGTTATTTGCCTTTTTAAGAAATAATCTTTTAATATCCTTGAGTATCGATTTTTTTTGCATTAATAATACTTTTCTTAAATTTTTAAGTTATAGCGGATTATAAATTATAAATGCCTAAACTTCCTCTTATCTTCTCGCACTTATAAGCTTTTGTGAAAGAGGTCCTTTCAGATTTAAGAGTGTGCTGAGTTTTGAAACTTGTTAGCAAGTGTGGAAGATTTATATCAGTTTTCAGATTTAAAATCAAACTTTTCATTTTATTACAATAAGTTTCCTTTGGAATGTTTCATTTAGTTTCTTCATTTTGTATGTGTATAATTTTATAAATTAAAATTAATAAATAATAATCAAAAATATTAAAATAATAACAATAATCATATAGTTATTATTAGTCCTTAATTATTTAGTGAATAATAATATTAATAATAATAAAAATAAAAAAATAGTGTATAAAACATTGCATAATTATCATTTTTCCTTAAGCAACAATGTTTAATTCCTCGCAGACTCTCACACCATAAATGAAAACTAGTTTTGAAAATAATAAGTAGAACAGCTGAATCATTGATTAAACTTGAAAAACTGGTGCACACATTTATGACACTGTATCCCTATTGTATGTCATTTTTTCTATTTTATTTCATTCATTCATTTCTGCCCTTGAAAGTTACTATATATTTTACTATATATCAGAAAGACATGCATATTTATTGTAAACATGTGAAATTATGCAATATTTATGTTTTTTGTGCTAATTTTTCATTCGCGAAATTTAATATCAGATTCCTATATACATCATATTCCTTCGATAATATCGAATTATTTTTAATTTAAAATCTATTTTTCATTTGTATTAAATAATACAATGATTTATTTTTATTGTAATCTTTTTTTCGAATTTGAAATATATTGTACCATTTAAAGGGCTCCTTGATTTTGATTCTGAAAACCATGTTTTTAACCATGTTTTCACACGTTTCGATTTGCTGACATGTGCTACTGCCTCCCCCATTTTTCATCTCTTGAAAAAAAAATTTAAAAACAAAAACACAATTATTTTTTTTTGTTAGATTTTATATTTTGACATATGAAAAATTTATAAAAAATTATTTGTTTCACGAAATTTCGATTTTGCGACGATTAATCGAACTTGAATGATTAAAGAACAAACAAACGGCACCCAAGAATCACGATCTGTTTGATACTGTCTTCGACAAACGAGACATCGTGAACCTGCTTCTCACTCTCTCCCCATAGAAGAGATCACCAAAGAAGGCGTCGCGATTGGCAATCACGTGGTCACGTTCCCGTATCTTTCCGTTCGAATATATATTTTATTCAAAGAAATCGATACGAGACTTGAAAGCAAATGAGAGGGAATATGCAAACACATATATATGAGAGGAACCGAATAAAAATCAAAATTCTTATCTTGTTTATATATTTGGTATAGGAATTTATATGGGGAAACTGATGTAATTAGTGCACTGAAAAACAGTTCATTTGAATTTTCATTTTACCAAAAAAGGTTTCTTTGATTTAGCAAAAGTTATTTTTTTTCAAATTGATTAAGTTTTCTTTTTAATTCGATTTTGTAAATCGTATTTTTTTTGAGGAAATATATAAAAAATATTTCAATATTGGCAGTGATTTTATTTTTAAAAAAGAAACTTAAAGTGCAATAAAAAGGTTTTTTATTAAAAGAAGTGGCTTAAATTAATTGCTTGAATTAATTATGGCTTGAATTAACTATATTGATTTCTTCAGAACAAGTTGTTTCCAAACTGTTCAATATTCTTTAATTTATTGTAAATTTTTATACTTGGCTTTTTTTGAACATAAAAAATTATTATTATTAACAAAAAATTGCTTTTAATGATCAAATGTAATTTAGTAACTTTAATTTTGTTTAAAGTACACCAGGGAAAAAGATATAATATTTGTCTCAAAGCCAAATAAATATTTAATTTCACCTCAAATAAATTTTATTTGAGTTAAAAAAAAATTTGCCCTAAATAAAATTTTATTTGTGTTAAATAAATTTTTTTAACCAAAAATTATTAAACTCTGAAAAATATATTTTTATTTGTTTTAAATGAACGCCAATAAAATATTTCTCTGGGTGCAAAATTAAATTTTTTAATTTTATTTCAGAGAAATAAATATTTATTTGAAATAAATAAAAATTTACTTGGCTCTGAGACAAAAATATCTTTTCTCTTAGTGTACAGTGTAACTTGAGTTATTGAGACGCACGAGTTCTTTCGCGTGTGTTTCAATAAACGGAGGTTTTAGTGTAGTATAATTTATAATTATAATAAACATTTACAATAATATTGCAGCCAGAGAATGGCATTTATTTGAAGCAAATAAATTTTTATTTAACTCAATTAAAATTTCTTTGTAACAAATATAAATATTTATTTAGCTCTGAGAGAAATTTGTCTTTTCTCTGAATGTACTTTGATATAATTTTCATTGAATCAATTATAATATATACGGAAGTGAAAAATATTTTGTTCGAAATTTTGATTAAAAATTAATTTTCATATGGCGAAAATTTTGATTTTAATCACTGACCTATCTAAATCGAGTTGAGATGATGGTCGCGCCGCGACGCTTACTGACGGTCCGACGTTTGCCCGTTGCTTTCCTATTCTTACACACATATATATGCATATATCCTACCGGAGCCTATATTTAGAAAATCGCGAGGCGGTAAGGGTAGGCTTTAATCACGATCCACATGCTCGGCACATATCGCGAGTCTTTTCTATTCACATGTCACCTATATGAACGACACGTGATCACACGCGTTCACCACCATATGGACCAGTTCCTATATATTCATATATGCACGATTATGTATAGCACACAGCTTATACGGAAATTGCTTCTCGTATAACAGCAATTTTCATTATTTCCTAAAGAGCAATAAAAATACATTGACATTTTACTTTGCTTTTATATATTTTAGAAAATAATTTACTTTTTTCACTCAGAGAAATGTTTATATTTGAACCAAATATAATATATTTCGAGTTAAATAAACGTATATTTATCTAGCTCATTTATTTGGAGTAAATAAAAAGTTATTTGAATTAAATAAAAATTTATTTAAATCAAATAAATATTTATTAGGCTCTGTGAGACAAATATATCATTTTTCTGGGTGTTCTATTTTAAATATATTTCGAATAAATTTTGAATTTAGGTATTTCTAATACATATTGAAAATATTTAAAATATTTGAGGAAATAAAATATATTTTTTTAAAAGACAGAAAAGGAATTTTCTTCATTAATATGAGATTACTTTTTCTCTTGGGTATAGTACTTTTTTTTACCAATAAAACTCTTTTTGAAAAATTGAAAATAAAAACTTGTTTCTCTATTCATATTGTTTTTGATGAATAATAAAAGTTTTTTTTTTATTGAATAAATTTTATTCTCTGAAATTTGCGGAAAGACATAAAAAAAAAGTTTTGCTACTCGACAAAACATGGTGAACTGTAGATATATGTGAATAAATTACTTCCTTTTTTTCTTTCACAATTCGATGCGCTTCAGTTATTGGATGTATTGTCAGCCTCTAACGAAAGAACGTGGTTGAAAGCGATCAATATAAATATGTTTTTTTTTTCATTTTTCCATTTATCAAAATGAATTTTCATATAAAAAATAATTCGATTTAAATTGAAATTTACAATCAATATTTTTATAATTAAATTAAAAAAAAAAATTTTTTCCAAGTTATTTATCATAAAATATTTTATCAAACAAAAATTAGAATGATAAATGAAAATATTGATCCCCTTTGTTTTTTTTTTATTATTATTTCAGTAACCACTTATATTTTCCGACAAAGTGTCCATAAATATATTTTCTTTATAGAGTCAAAAACCCTAAATTTGTTATCACTATTTACTTTGGACCAGATGGAAATGTTTATTCAGAAGGGAAAGGAAGCAGATTTTAAGAATTTCTTATGCTCAATTGAGATAATGTCAGTTGAATAACAAAAAAAAAAAAAAAAAACAACAGTAAAGGGGTTATGGTGTGTTATAAACAGACATACTCTTCACGAGAGAATTCTAAAATTAGATTTCTTTCCCTTTATAATATAAAGAATGTCGGTCACAATAAGTAAAAACATTGTTTAATTGATAATAAAGATGGAAAAATATTGAATATTTTTAAAGTTTATTATATTCTTTAATTTAGAATTTATTCTTATTTTAAGAATATAGTATAAATAAAAATACTATATTCTTATTTAAGAATAAATTGACTTAAAATATTCTGTAATGCACCCAGAGAAATGTTTTATTTGAACCAAATATAATATATTTGATTTAAATAAACGTATATTTGTTTCACAGCCTAATACTATCCCATTTATTTGGCGTAAATGAATTTTTTTATTTAAATCAAATAAAAATTCATTTTGAATCAAATAAAAATTTTATTCAAATAAATTTATTATTTATTTATTTATTTATTTATTTATTTATTTATTCATAATAAGTTTCTAGGGCTATTGAGCCCGTCAGGAAACAAGATACAAGATTAGGCTATTGGGATGTCCGCTGGGGGCGTGGCTTAACATTTTATCCTACGTTCAGTAGTACCATTTTTCACCACTATGTTTGAAAGTTACTCTGATTGGTTTAAACTGGACAAAAATTGACAAACATCCTACTTTCAAGGGTTAAAAATTTTTTCAACAGAAAACCCTTCACAGTAACGGACATCCCTTTTTTCTGCACTCAGAGAAATGGTAAATTT